CACGCAGAACGTCACTGGCTACTCCAATTCGCCGGTTGATCTCTTCCTCCAATTCTCCATCACTAGTAAATACATTTCCGAGGTACTTGAATTTGTCCACCTGCTCCACTGTCTCTCCGTTAATCTGAAGAGAGCAACGGGCAGGAGACTAGAAAGCTCTAGGCTTTTCGTTTTAGATGCGTTCACACGCATGCCGGTCACGTCGCTCTCGGCTGTGAACCTTTCTAAGGAGCACTGAAGATCAGTTTCAGAAGATGCCAATTAAACAGATTTGTCTTCAAATAGCAACATTCTCGTCTCAACATCTGCTACACCGATACACTCATCGTTAATTGTTTATATAGGTTTTATTTGGTAGACATTGTTCTTGTGTAGCGGCTGATTTGCAGAATGTTAATTTTGTGTAGTTTAAATATTTTTTGAAAGCATTAGTGTATTAGGAAAATTTTTAGAGTTTTGTGAAGCTCTTCCCCAGCCTGGCCGAGATCAGCTGATCCTGACTCAGATCCTACCATGTGTTAAAGAACTGGCAAGCGATGCAAACCAGCATGTCAAAACCGCTCTTGCTTCTGTAATTATGGGATTAGCCCCAATTCTAGGCCGAGATGGGTATTGTTAAAACAGTTGTTTTTAGTGATTCACAGATTTCTCTCTTTTAGCACCGTCGAGCATCTCCTTCCACTGTATTTGCTTCTTCTTAAAGACGAAACTGCCGAAGTTCGGCTAAACATAATCTCCTCGCTGGACAAGGTAAAACCAAGTTGCTCCTTTGTCAGTTTGTTTGCGCCTCGACTATAAAATATTGCTGTGCGCGATAATGAATATTTGACATCTTCATGATGTTTAAAGTCATATGGTAATTTATGGAAAAATTTGGAGGGATTATTATATTTTGTAGAGAGCAGCAGTGAATTGGAGTGAAGTAGATTGTACTTCTACTTTGAACTTTCAAGGAGAAGAATTCACATTTCGATGTTCTGTAAAACTGCCAGTTGTCTTGAGCGAAGAATTCTCCGTACTGTTCTTTTTGCAACAAGCCACTTGGCGGGTGAAATGTTATTGCACTGCGAATAATTGGGCTGTTTTGTGTTACTATGTCCCAATGCCAGGACATGTGAGACAAATGATCATGCTGTCTTTTGAGCCTTTGACGAGTGGAATTCGCCTTTTCTACTCTGATTGCTGACTGAAAATCAGCACTAGCTTAAGCTGTAAATTTTCAGTACAATAAGTTAAGAGTAGTCACGGGCTGAAAAGTTTATAAAGATCAGAGTGAAGAATCTGGAGTAATTACTGGCAGACTATCCATTAATGCTATTGAAGCATAAGCTTTCTGATGTCAGGTTGAGGCAGGCAAATGTATTTCATTTCAGTGTTTCAGATAAATTCAACTATGCTGTTGCAGCAATGCTGTGACCGAGTTTTAATATGATGTGTATGTATACTGTGCGTAAATAACATATGGCGAAAATTAAACGAATATTCTCCTGATTGAGGTTGTTATTCGCTGCAGTTTTGAATTTGAGATTTGCTGCCCATAGTATAGTACGTGAAACGTTACCAGTCCTCTAAAAAAGCGTACGTGCGCATAGTAATTAAGCAGTGAATGTGTTCTTTCTCATTCACAGAAGATTTCATGTTAACTCTGAGACGGTTCATTATAAACTTCCTACTGACTCGATTTTAGTTTTTATGTACATTTCTGCAGCTAGTAAACAAAGTTAGTTTAAGAGAGTTCTCGTAGACTGTCTGACATAATGATGTAATTTTTGTCACGGATTAAAAACCTGTGAAAGCGGTATGGTCGCCTGTGTCATTGCGGGAACAACGCAGAGCGCCAGCCATATAATCGATTTCAGTTTAGAAGTCACCGTAGCGTTAGTGTTCTGCTATAAAAGAGCGCTTCTTTCACTTCAGGCATGTCGTCTAGCCATACTTTTAATAATTTAAACGGCCTTTAAGATATTTTCCGGGGAGAGGATTTTCCCCTGACTTTCGTTGAACTTATTTTGCTCCTTGTTTCGGGTTTTGGTTAGGAAAATTCTAAAAATGTTTTCTTTTTTATAAATTAAGCTCTGAGCTTCCTTGATTCTCTATTTAAGTAGTCACATTTTTCGTCTGTCGTCCAGCTTCTGGAAATAATTTAATG